GTTTAAATTTAACCACTGTATTTTTAAATTAACCCAATTTACTGAGACAAACAAAAATATTTTTTTGTTTTAACAGTCAAACACAAAATAAAAATTAAACAAATATCTAATTTCTAATGTTTTACATGCAGATTAAATAGGTCTGAAGAAAACTTTTGGCTTGTCTCCCGAAGCCACAGGAGGGCGCAATGAGCAAAATAATGCAGTGCATTAAATTGCCAATGAAAAGGAAATAACTGTCTATAAACAAAAAAAAAATGTGCATTACGTCTAAATTAACTCATATAGATCAAACATAATTTCGTAAATTGCATAAACAATTATAAACAAAACAGCATCATGTATTTATGCATTGCTTAATACAAAGAGCCGAAGCGCCATTCACGCAGATTGCATTTAAAAACATGAGACGCAGCGAAAAGGAATAAACCTCACAAATTCGTGACGTGTTTTCTAAAAGTTACACATGATATCACCAGTCGTCTGATGACAGCTCATCACTGGCTTGTTCAGTGGGACAAGCAATGACAATTGTCAAGAAAGTCTGTCATTTTTCCGTACTAAAATGTGCACATCTAGTATCCACATTAGGACACACAGAGCAAAATGAAGTGTCATTTAAAAAAGCAAAAAAAAAACAATGTATTGTTAAAAAAAAAAAGCATTTTTACAGACAAATAATTTTATATCATATTTAAAAAATATATTATTGAATTATATACAGAACTCCCACAATGGCAGGAGGTCTGTTCTCTATTGACAGAAGTTATTTTGAAGAGATTGGCACCTATGATTCAGGCATGGACATATGGGGAGGGGAAAACCTTGAAATGTCTTTTAGGGTGAGAGCTCCATTTTATGGTAGTTTAAAACATTAAAAAAATAGCAGGGGTCATAAATGATGATGTTCTGCCTTATTATATTCATAAATACATGCTGCTTTTTTTATTGTAATTGTATGTGGCCATGTTTTAAAGATCCTTGTTGATTGTATTTATTTTGTATGTGTGTGAATAGATCTGGCAGTGTGGAGGATCTCTGGAGATAGTCACATGTTCTCATGTAGGCCATGTGTTTCGGAAGGCCACACCATACAGCTTCCCTGGTGGAACTGGTCAGGTGATCAACAAGAACAACAGACGATTGGCTGAAGTCTGGATGGATGAGTTCAAAGATTTCTTCTACATCATCTCACCAGGTAATACTCTTCAGGAAATCGCTAAAAGACACTTCACTTACTGAGATGGTCCATCACATTATCTTTGGAGCTTTAATTTTGGTTGTTATGACCAGTGGTGTAGCGGTGCCTTGAGAAGTGGGTATACTCTTAATTTTTAAGTGGCCCAGCAAAGGATGAACTCCCTGTGTTATAAACAGTGACATGCAAGACTAGTTTTGCATATTTAGTTCACCCCAAAATGGGGCAGTAGTATTTGCACAGTCACTTAACTTCTGCTGCTTGACTTCACAAAGTAAGGATCATTATGAAATGAATATTAGCCATAGAATAGGTGCAGATTTTGCAATAAATAAAAATAAATAGAAACAATTAACATTTTGTCAGAACCTCTAGTAAATTACGTTATTTTCTTTAGTTGTCCAGAATCGTAGGAGAATCATGATCTCTATTTGAAACAAAATTTGTGATTCTTACGCAGAGCTGCTCCTGTGTGTGACTGACTGTTTGCTCTAACTGACAGGTTTTATTATTGTTATTATTATTATTATTATTATTTATAATTTTTTTTCTCTCTTTTAATTGACCGAGAAATCAAATGCACTGCTGGACAATAACCAATCATTTGTGTTCTATAATATTTTTCCTATATTTTCCTAATGACAATTTTATGATTTGTTTATATACAAACACTTTTTTTTTTTATTACAGAATAAGGCAGAAGATATATTTTGTCGTTTCTATAGCCAACTGTAATAAATGCTATGTCAATTAGCACTGCATTGTTCAAATGCTTTTTATTACCTGGAGATGACTTGAAAAACACACATAAACCATATATTGTCGCAATCGTGTGTTTATTGTCTTCATGTTTCATCAGTCAAAACCTTTCTTTTTATTCAGCTTAGCTACAGCAGAGATTGCTTTGGCTATGATAGCTGAATGCCTTTATCCATATTAGGGATTTCCTGGTGTCATAAGTTATTACTTCTACGAGTCAGTTTTGGACTTTCTGGGTTCGAGTATGAATGAAACACACTGCATGAGAGTGTTTACGCCTCGGTCCCGACCGTATCATTGTCTTTGGGTGTTTTTAGGGAATTTTTGCATTAATTCAAATGCGAATGGATTAGCTACTCACGTGCTGGACTCTCATGGTTTTGGCTAATTCAGGACAACTGAATGCTGCTCATCAGAGGGGATTTAGAAGTGGGTATACGCAATGCTGACTGATAAAGACGCTGTATACCTGCGTATTCCCTGCAATGTGTAATTAAATTACAGTTACTTATGAAAATGTTAAAGATTACAAAGGGGATTACATTTGAATATTTACACACATCCACATACAGATTTAATTGATTTCTTTCCCAAATTGCACTGACTACTCTGAGACATACGGCTCTATGACGGAATATGCCACATTTTGGACGAATAAATCAAAAGTAGTGTTAAGTTAAGTCCTCTTAAATCAAAACGCGATATGGACTAGTGTCTGTGAATATTAAGCCGCAAAAAGACAATATATGAATCCTGCACGTTCTGCATATCTAGGGAAATCAGGCGCGGACTGGCCATCGGGAGAACCGGGACAATTCCCGGTGGCCTGGCAGCAGATTTGGCCCGCTGTTTTAATATTATTATTGTATAATTGCCTGCCGAATGTACTAAAGCGATTATTTCTGATTTCACCATCCATTCGATAATTAAATCTCTAATAAATCATGAATCGGTTAGTCGTGACTGGCAATGCTTCGGCTCGCGCGCTCTCAGCACCTCCGGCAAACGGTTTGGATCAGAGTAATCAATGCGAGAGAGAGAATGGAGTGGACTGTGGAGGCGCACAGATGGAGCATAGAAGCAAAACTAGGCCTACTGTTCTGGGTTTCAAGTGCAGGTCAGTTTCATCTGTAAATATGCTATTGTAATTTTGTCTTTGTTTACTTAGTTAAGCAGCAGCAGCCCATTGCTCATCAGTCATCACTCAAAATATTGTATAAAGGACATCATTATTATTTATTGTAACGTTATAGTAGTAATTTAGCAGACAGATAATCATATTTTATAATAGGTTTAGGGCAAGCTAGGGCAGACAACACAACCCTTACGAAAATTAATAATGATTTTACTATAAATCCAAAGACAATGGTTACTATTGTCAAAGCATGGTAACCACAAATTAACCATGGTTTTTGCTACACTAACCATAGTTTAACCATGGCATTTGTAGTAAAAATAAATACAAATGGTAATCCATTGGAAAAAAAAAAAAACATGGTTAATTTTTGTAAGGGAAAAACATGACTCATGTTCAGTAGGATTTTTATATAAAGATATTGTAGTGATGTACTAATTTTGACATGTAGGCAATTTAGAAAGTATAGTTTTGTTAAATCTTGAGTATTAAAGTCATGTGAGAGATAGATATCAGGGCAAAATAAAGAGACTGAAAAGAAAAATGGAAGTGAAGGTGCAGTTCAGGAGATATATATATATATATATATATTAATAAAATAAATGGAAAACAAAACAAAATTAAAAAAAAACATTCCTTGACAAATTCTGTTCCACAACCTTTCCAGTGAACGTTTTCCAACAAAAGACACTTTTGATCTTATTCCTACCATGAAACATCAATATTTTATCCCCATTCAACTTTAACAGCCACTACTGTGCCACATCCCCCTAAAACATGTTTTACATCCATCTGGCTTGCTCATATCTGCTGATCTGGACAGTCCGCAAGCGTTTCTGCTATAGCGCAGATCAGTGGGACAGATATTTCACCCTGATGAGAGACTTTCCTTCTTTTATTTATGCCTGGCATTGTGCTAAGTGTCTGAGTTCTGCTTCGCTGCTCACGTATTCATAAATGTTCTGCTTTTCTTATCTGCATCTGGCCCCTAGGGAGACCTGGGAAATGTAGTGCTATAGTGGGGTTAGAAAGCCTCAGCACCCTGTACAAGGACAATAATGAGATTAGCCTTTACTGAAACCTCTGTCAGTTCATTTGAGAGGGAAAGATTCAGGAGGAACTCTGTGGTAATGTGGAGCACAGGCGGGGATTGTTCCTGGAAAGGTGTCCCAGAGGTGCTGTGTTGTGGTCTGCAGACTGAAGCGTGTGTGTGTGTTTGTGTGTGTGATGAATAAATAGTGTGGTCTGGTATGTCTTGAGGCTATGGAAGTGACTGTTCTGGAGAGAAAGACTGAGGTTATTTGAAATGAAGAGATTTGTGGCGCAACAGAGGGAAGTTCTTACACATTTAAAGGAATAGTCCCTGATAGCTCACGCACATCTCAGAGACGTCTGTTTGGCGTCTGCATTTACATCTGCAAGACGTATTTTTTAGAGTGTTTGCACATCTGCAATACGTTTATCGGACGTTTCCTATCAGATGCCAAAAATACGTTTAGAAGATGTCTTTAAGATGTTTATGATTTAGAATGTATGTAAAACTGAATCTTAAAGATGTCTATCAGATGTTTGTACACAGCAGATGATTTCCAGATGAAGCGATCTTTAACATACATCTTGCAGACGTATGTGTGCTGTCTGGGGTCCACTTACTTACTTGAAAGCTATTTCTAACATTTAAAACGGTATTCAGTGCATGGAATACACAAGCAGATGTTTAAAACAATATTCACACTAGACATCTATTGTGTAAAATCTTCTAGTCTTAATCTGTACCTGAACCGGTTGAAAATCAATAAAAAATATGTGACGATTTAAGTCGGTTGATGTGTTAAATTAATCGCAATACATTTGAGGTGGGGGTTTATATGAATGTATTGCTGCAACCCTTATACTATGCCCTAAAATTATGTACTCTTTTTGTGAAGAAAAAGTACATACTTTTGAGTATGTAGAAGAATAGCAGGCAAGCTTTTGTACATACTACTTCATCATAGCTGCTTCTTTAACGGACGCTCTGTTGCTTAGTTACGTGCATTCTGTCACTGTTTAAACTGCCCTGTCAATCATCTTGTCACAGTTAACATCATCCACATTTCGTTTCATTTGATTTCCTACTGTATTTGAGAGAAATGAAGAGGCACGTTGATCTGCCAGTCGCGGGTCTATCATGCCGAGAACTCTACTCATGTGTTTGCATAATGATGCATTTAAGAGTTAATGACCAAACGTATCATTATAAAAGTTCACAGTGTTGCTGAAGATTATATATAACGTGGATAACATTAAATTTATATTTTTCATCAGGTTAGACATTGATTTTTTTATCACTCAAATCTCTTTCTTTACCTGTCCGTGGTCGCGTATATCCGCCATGTTTGTAGTTTTTTAACACTTTTTTTATGCGTGTTTGTAGTTCTAATCGAATCCTCATCCACCGCGCAATGTGTTGTGGGCAATATTAGCCGTTAGAGTGTGCATCGATCTGCACTTCGAATTCTAACCGGAAGTAGTAGACCATCCGGGAATCTTTGGCATACTTTTTTAAACATACTATGATTTGGGACGTACTAATTCTATTTTCAAATACTATTTAGGATGGATAGTATGTGAATTGGGACGCAGCATATCTCTTTGTTTAGCACGTCTTTGTTTATAGCTGCAACCAAGGAAACGCTGTATGGCTGCTGTTCCATAAGCGCCACCTGCTGTCAGAGAGTGAATTTTGCGTTTTCATTCAGCCCGTCTGCCGTTTTTGTTTCGTTCAGATGTTTTATGTAGCATAATTTCACAAAATCAAAGACATACCATTCTGTTTTGCTTCAAATTTTGAATTTATACATTCTAATAAAATAAAAAAAAACTGCTCATGCTGCATGTTTGCAGCGTCTTTGTTTGGATTGTGATTAAAATGCAGTGGTTGCCTCTAATTTAAATAGAGCACAGGCAAAGCTTTAGTTTGAGATTTCAGAGAGATTACTTTCATTTGTATTATTTATTTATTTGATTTTGATTTCGCAAAAAAAAGAAATGTGCAGCATTTTGTCCGAGAAATAATAAAAGGACACTTTTTCATTTATAATTTGTCTTACATCTCATTTTGTTCAAATCGTATTGTGCAATCAGTATCGTGAATTGTATCGCATTGTGAGTTGAGTGAATCTTTAAATCCCTAATAAATAATTTTTTTTAAAAAGGAAGCCTGACCCGAGACCGACCTGATAAAATTAAATGGCAATTTTCCCAAACCTGACTGGATCTGAAAGAAAAAGCAGTGATGTTTGCACAACCTGCAGCCCTGCATGCCAGTGGCAAGTGGAGACTTTTTCAACCAGGTATAAAACAGATCAAAATCATAGATGACAAATTAAACACTATAGGCAAATTAGATGTAAAAGTATGCCCATTTTCCTAAATTATTTGTAGATTCATTCGCTGATCCTTTTTCATAACATTTATTTTCGCTATATTTTCAACCCATGTTTTCAGATAATGTAACCTTTGTGTATGCCAAAAATTTGGGAGATTTTTCCCCCATGGATCTTTCATGAATTATTTGAGAAAATATACAGTTATGGTTGCTATTTGTTTAAAAAAAAAAAGATTTATTTGAGTAGTATGGCATCAATTGCATTTAGATGGTTTTCTGTATTCATTATCTGACAACAGTATGCTACATTGTTTTTCTGCTATGTCATAAGCTTTGTGTCGCACTTGAAATGACAGGGACATTCTTAGATTAATATTAATAAGCAAATCCCTGCACTCGTTGTCTTAAGTGGCTCGGATGTTGAAATGTAGACTGCACATCGTTGCTGCACACACCAGTTTCCTCTAGGGTTTCATTAATTAAAATTATTATTTTTTTAAAAGCAAAACACGATCCGAGTCAGAGATGACAAATTAGAAAAAAAAAAAAAAAGATGTTAAATTATGTCTTATTAACAGTTATGCCCATCGTATTCAAATTAAAATTACCAGAGACCCAAAGCTACTATCAGACCTGACCCGCAGCTGAGGTACCTGTCAAAGTTTTGTACAAGTATACTTATTAAGACCTCTAATTCACACTATTTGTCAAACAATGAAAATGGTTATTCATACAGTCAAGCTACAAAAAGGACAAAACGGCACTGTAGTATTCAAGTAGTCCTTATGATTCATGGACAATATTGAAATTGTTGCGTTGTATGAACCCATATGGTGGCTTCGGGTAAAGAACAGAGTGAAATATAAATCATTTATTCACAGAATAATCTTTATTTTGCAATAAATCTCAAGTCTCATTATACAATTTGAAGGGGGCACAAGTTTGGTTCATGTGTGTTTCAAACCAAACACGAAGTGGCAGAATTTGAGAGCTACAACAAAGATTTTCTGTGAATAACAACGTGCATTTCAGTTTGTTACATTTTGGCTTAATATGGACTTTGTGGACTACATTTATGAAACATTTATGTGTTTGTCCTGTTTGAAGTTTCAAGCAGCAGGAACATTGATTTTGCTTGGAAGAAAGAACGTTATGTGTGTTTAGAACAACGAGAGTAAGTGAATGATTGTAAACGTTTTGGATGAACTATTCTTGTAAATGTGGACTGAGCTCAGAGGGGAGAGGTATAACAGGGGACACAGTAGCACATAACTTAGACCCAGTGATCGCATCTGAGAGCAGCTCTGCCCCAAGGCGTCTACTGAAACACACAAGCTCATTTATCATCTGCACCACAGACAAAGAGAGACAGTGGGACAGAGAGAGAGGAGAGGTCACAATACAGCAGAAAATATCAAGGCAGACATAAAGAGAGAAAACGCTAGACTGAGGAAGAAATGCAGAAAGTCAACACTCAGCAGAAAGACACAAATGCCTGACACTTCAGCTGTCAGTGTGTGCTCAGTTCGCCGAGGCCTCTGGGACATCAGCGTCTGTGTGTGTGTGTGTGTGTGTGTGTGTGTCGTGCAGATATATTATCCTCTCTGCTTGAGGCACACACGTAGAAGAGACCACCTGTCTAGATCATCTCAAATGTGTGCTCAGTTCGCCGAGGCCTCTGGGACATCAGCGTCTGTGTGTGTGTGTGTGTGTGTGTGTGTGTGTCGTGCAGATATATTATCCTCTCTGCTTGAGTCACACACGTAGAAGAGACCACCTGTCTAGATCATCTCAAAATGTGCATGTTTGTTTAAAGGGGTCATATGATGCGATTTCAAGTTTTCCTTTCTCTTTGGAGTGTTACAAGCTGATTGTGCATAGATAAGATCCCTGAAGTTGCAAAGACTAAAGTCTCAAAACCAAAGAGATATTCTTTATCAAAGTTAAGACTCTGCCACGCCCCCCTAAAACGGCTCATTCTAACACGCCCCCACATATCTACCCCACTATGTGGAAATATTTGCATAATCCCGCCGCAAATGTGCACGCAAAGAAAGAAGGCACCTACAATAATGTACAGTATTTGAAAAATAATGTGTTTTTTTAACATTAAAGCATGTCAGCATATTCTGTTACACCAAATACACAAAATAATGATCTTTAAAAAAGCATCATATGACCCCTTTAATATAAACTGAAATGGATAATGGAGAATAAGAATTTGGTTGCTTTTAGTTTTTAGACACTGGGATAGGCTCTGGTATCCCCGTGACCTTAAAGAGGATAAGTGGTTTGGAGAATGGATAGGTGGAATTTGAGTGTGAGCGCATAGGACATTTTATATAAACCGAGCATTTACTGGAGAAAAGTGAGGAAAAGTGATGCTGAAGCTTCCTCTAGTGTCTGTAGTGAAAGATGCAGTGCTTTCAAATTGAGACATTTGAGATTTTTCAGTGATTGTGTCATTGTGTTATATTTTAGGCATATAATGTTAGTCTGAGAATCTGCCTTTTTATAAAAAAAACAAAAAAACAACAACAACAACATATAAAATAAATTAAATAAAAACAACTTTGTGAATATATGGATATGGATAACAGTTCATGAAACCCCCCTTATTTCAGCACTAGTTGATCACATTACATCAATCAATCAATCAATCAATCAATCAATCATTCTTGACAAATGTCTTGTTTTTAGCATAATTGAAAGCATTAATTCAGCAAACTTATTCCTAAATGTCTTTAGTGATGAAATCACTCATCACTGTCAAATGTGTTTTAGCATCTATATTAAATTGCATAAAATCATTCATGATATTGTCAACTATAATAAATATAAAAAAATGTCAGAAATTAAATTAATTTTACAAACTCTATTTTTGAAATGAATATAATAGAGCATTTCTAACATTTTACCATTTTAGGGCTATTCACAATGTATTAATAACTTGTTTTAATCATTTTGTTGCTTCATAAGCAAATGACGTGAGAAAATAAAGGCGCATATATATATATATATATATATATATATATATATGTGTGTGTGTGTGTGTGTGTGTGTGTGTGTGTGTGTGTGTGAAACAATGTGTCATCACAATAGAAGAGATTCCAAGACGAATGGACAGAAAAGTACCATATATGGTACTTTTCTGTCCATTCGTCTTGGAATCTCTTCTGTTCTGGTGTTTTGTTTTCTTTTTTTCTTTTCTGTGTCATTGCATCTATGATTAGAATTCAATGCCGTATTAATACTGTTATTTGTATAAATATAATTATCTGTATGTATCAAATATGTGTTCCTAATTTGTGCTGGTTTATTTTTACAGCCCTAGTTTTACAGCCCTAGTTTAGTTGCTCATAGTTTCTTAAAAATATCCAGAATATAAGGTAAAAAAAAAAAAAAATAAATAAATAAATAATAATAATAATAAACCTACATAATTATTTAGAAAAAAATGGATCAATATAAGCTTTCTGGACTTGAGGGATTTGAGGGAACTATGAACGTTAAATATGTTTATGGATCACGGTCTTCCAGATGCTTCTGTGAAGTCATTATCTCTATAAATGTCCCATATTTTTTCCCCGGGTCATGTTTGTAAATGGGTTATTTACATCTATTCCTTTAGCAGGTGCTTTTATCCCAAGCAGCTTACAAAAGAGGGTCATGCATTCACATTTCACTATTATAAAAGGGCAGTATATGATGAATGTTATGGATGTTGATATGATGAATGTTATGGATGTTGTGTTTCTCCAGGTGTGGTCCGGGTGGATTATGGCGATGTTTCTGCTCGGAAGGCTTTGAGGGAATCTCTGAAGTGTAAACCCTTCTCATGGTACCTGGAGAACATCTACCCCGACTCGCAGATCCCACGCAGATATTTCTCACTTGGGGAGGTAAGAGAATTTCATTGTTTTCTTTTTTTAGTTTTTTTTAGTTTATACTAATGAGATGGGATCTGGCGCAACTTTATCACTTCACAAGGTGCATGGAAACAAACTGTGTACAAGAATATGAAAAATAATCCAGCATCGCTTGTGATGAAGGGAACTTTAATACTTAAAAAATACCAACGTGTTTCAAGAGCCTTCCTCAGCTTCAACACACATCATGAACAGACATTTAAAACCACATCTCCATATTAGATTACTCATTCACAAATTAGCAACAAGCTTCACTCAAGACGTCACACTAATTAATTAGAGTTAACTATCCAAAAGCAACAATCACCCAATCAGAGTAGATCCACATCAGATTAACATATCTTACACATAAAAAAAGAGTCATACAACACGCTTAAAACCACCATCACAAAACGTCTTCAAGAGAAAAACCCTCATTCATACCTTTTGGAAACAGACTTTTCAAATAAAAGATAGTTTTCTTGTTTGACATGGCATTAAACGAATCAGAGTTGTTAATAAATTGCTTCTGTTTGTCATTTTGCACAATAAATATGCAGCTTTATGCATGTGTGGGGTTATGCCAAGACCTCTGCAATACAAAACAATTTCACTTCCTGCTCAGCCAATGCTGTTCTTGTTGTGTTGAGCAGTTCTACTGTTCCCTCAATGCAGTCTGCAATAAATGTATTTGAAGCTTTTCATCAGTTATACTTTCTCATAAAACCCAAGGACAATGTTCAACTGTGAAAAAAAAGATGACTTACAGTGCTTGACTGAAAGAACACTGCATTCTATGAAATCTTCAGACTTTATCCTCTTATGTTATTAGATCAGAAATGTTGAGACAAATCAGTGTGTGGATAACATGGGCCGTAAAGAGAATGAAAAGGTTGGCTTCTTCAACTGTCATGGAATGGGCGGCAACCAGGTAAGAAAGTTGTAAAATTAAAGGATTACCGTACAGATAAATTTAAATGTAAACAAAAATTAATTAAAGTCTACAAAACAGAATAGTTCAACCAAAAAAAATTGAAATTCTGCATCCAACATTAATCATATCCATCATATCCATTAATCAAACCTCTACAGTATGGCTTTCTTTTTTGCTGTTGAAAACAAAAGGATATGCAATGCACAATATGGACAATGCATTGGGACTTAGGCTGTAAAAGAATGCAAAAGCACTAGGAAACTATCATCCAAGTATTATGAAATCTTCGAAAGTAATACAAACATTTTGTGAGATATACAGATTTTTAAGTCATTATTAACTGGTCTTAATCTTTACCTCTGAAATGCTGGAAGCAGATCTTTGAGTCAGCGTGAAACTGAGAACTCGAGATATGAATCAGTGTGAACTGTGATCGAATCATTCAGAACGCATCTGTGAGCTGGATTAATCAATTTGTGAAAAGATATGACTCAAAAAAAAAAATTGTTTGTGAATCATGAACATTGTAAGGACAGCTATAGGGAAGATGTCAGGATTACTTAGTGAATAACAGCTTAAGTCATGATACTTTTAAGGTGCTTTTGCATCTTTGTTGTAAGCTTGATAGCCTAATTTATGGTTGAACTAATCCTTTACTCTTTGTTGCTAAATTGAAAGATTGGCTAACACAAGTGCTGAAATGTTGATTATATATGTACGTAATCAAATGTAAATGTAAATAAAGTAAGGGATTTCATAATAATGAACAGAATTAACTCTCAGCTGATTAATCCGTTTGCAGGTGTTCTCATATACGGCTGACAAAGAGATCCGGACTGATGATCTGTGTCTGGATGCATCACGGCTTAACGGACCTGTTGTTATGCTGAAGTGCCACCACATGAAAGGAAACCAGATGTTTGAGTACGATGCAGAGGTACATATCACACACACCAACAACATCACTCTTGCACACACTGACTCTAAGTCAATGTAATATAAATATCAAATTACACATAGCTTCCCTTACAAAAAATCAAAAAGAAGAAGAAGTTTATTCAAGTGTGCTGTTAGTACACTTCTTTTCAAGCAGAAATAAGAGAGTGTATTGTTCACACATATTGGCATCCTTGAGGTTGTACTCTAGCATGTATTTTACATGCTATGTTATAAACTTATAGATTTATAGTAATAAGTCAGCTTTGGGGTGACAGAGTAACTAGTACAACGCTGAAGCTAAACTTTATTTTTGCACACAGAGCTATTAACCCACACATTTAGCTGATTTTATTAACAGTTCTTCCAAGCTATGAAAGTATTGTAACACATTTGATTCACACTGACTTCTACTAAATTTAATCACAAAACATTCATAAAACATAAGTCTTTTTATGTAGTACATAAATCAAAGGTATTAATAATCCACCGGTATTGTACACAGGAGTTAACTGAAAGTCTACTGACCTAAATAGGAACTTTATTTTTGCACTTGAAGTATAGTAGTATACTTAAAGCGCTAAAATATTATCAAAATAATGAACTGTGTATGACGTTACGTTTACTTAAAGGGATAGTTCACCCAAAAATGAAAATTTGATGTTTATCTGCTTACCCCCAGGGCATCCAAGATGTAGGTGACTTTGTTTCTTCAGTAGAACACATTTGATGATTTTTAACTCCAACCATTGCAGTCTATCAGTCGTATAATGCATGGCGCTTGAAGGGACTAGACGGCCCAGCATCCTTGCCCGACGGCCGTGTAACGGGTGCGGTTCTCGTCCGGACTGCGGGTCCAGCAGCTCACGACTCTGGCGGCACGGGGGTTCCTCTACGCACCCCTCCTTGACCCACGAGAACACCAGCGTGCATGCACGGGGAAGAAAGCGGTCTCCCGAGGAGAGGCGCACTCGGCATTTAAACAGCGGCGGTGATACAAGTATGCTTGCAGAATAAAAAATACTAAACTAGTAGAATAACTTTAGAGTATACTTCAAAGTGTACTTTTATAATCTAAAAAGTGGGCTACACATATATAGCTACTAAACTAACAGTATACCTTATAGTTTACAGTAGAGCTGCATTACTAACGAAAAACTTGTGTAAGATGTGAGATGTGTAAGATGCAAACTAGTTATGTACTCAAATTTCACTTCTTAAAGTACACCTAAAAGTATACTTTATAAACTAAAGAGTCACACTTACAAGTATACTACTGGTCATTGAGTTTAGTATACTTAATACATAAGTGTGCTTGGAAAATATACTTAAGTGTACTTAAATTTACTTAAAATTATACATCTTTTTTGTAAGTGTTGTAGCATCTGAAGTCTTGTTCACCCTAAACATGTTGCAGTGGTGAAAGCCCAGGACTAGTTATCAAAAAGCTCTTGGTTTGAGCCCCACAATGATCACAGAATGGGCTCTCAGTAGACATTTAACCTCAGGATGTCCCAGGGGAACTGAACCTATATTTGTTTTGGATAAAAGTCAGAAATGACATGTCCTTTTGACAAGCGACTCCAGAAAACATGGGTTATAAGATAAGATGTGGCCTAAGACCTTAAAGGCATAATTCATCCAGAAATGACAATTCCGTCATTCATGTCATTTCAAACAAAAGCAGAAGTTCCTGCTGTTGGTCTCAAATCTACTTCTGCATATTCAAACTTGCAATGTCTTGATTGGCCATGTGACGCATAATCGTCAATTACAGTCGGCCACTTATTTATGCAAAGAATTATTTATATAAATCTTTGGTCACACTTTATTTTAAGGTACAATTCTCACTTGTCACGTATTAGCAAGTTCCAAAGATGAAGAAGAGTCGAAGGTTCAGAAACGAAGATAATTTAATGAGCAAAAGTCCAAACTCGTAACAGTGTACACTACATATAAGTACTGAGTAATATTAATTAACTACATGTACTTACTATATGGTTAGGGTTAAGATTAGGGTTTGGCTTAGGTTTACTTACATGTAATTATGCATAATTGATTGTTATTATAATAGTAAGTACATGTGACGTGTAACAAGGACATAAATAAAGTGTCACCGAAATCACTAATCAAATCAGTAACCAATGGGAAGTAAAGAGTGGCTGGAAAAACTAAAGGAAGACAGGAATTAATGAATACGAACTAATAGTCCATGATAAAGAAACGAACTAAACATAACTGTGACATCACTATCTATTAACTACAACTTTTGCCTCAATAAACTCCTAATTTGCTGCTTATTGTTAAGTTTAAGTTGTTAAGCTTAGGTGTGGGGTAGAATTACGGGATCTAAAATGTAGTCATGCAGAATTATGCATTAATATGCAGCCAATATGCTAATATGCATGCTAGTTAATAGTGGGAATGAGTCCTTAAAAATAAAGTGTTACCCATATCACTTTAGACCTGCAGCTAGCTCGTAACCACCAGATGGTGCTGCATATCACATTAGTATCCACTTTGTGTGCTTCTTTATTTTTGGAATATCTCATATTTCTTCCTTCTCTGGATATTGATCGTCCTGGTGCAGAACTGTGCATTTGAGATGCTGTGCACTTACTGGCCTTGGAAACTGATGAACTGTTCTTTCTGTACGTATCTTAGTATGTTGGCAAATGGGAGTATGATTTTAAGGTAAGATCATCTGAATTGTGTTTGCTGTGTGTTGTTTGAATATTCTGGTAGTGGTGTTTGTGAACTAGACTCCCACTGTAATCGAGTCACGTTGTGAGTGGTTTAAAAACACAACTGCGTAAATTCATATACAGGCCTGTAGTTTAATATATTACTATACACCCCTAACAACAGCCTCTCCACACATTGATTTTCAGTGACTATAACATAATCAATATCTGAGATTCATTACAGCATTCTCAAGATATCAAGAAACACGTATGACATACACTGCAGCTGAATAAAGAAGAAGCTTTAGAGATCTTTGGTGCTATCGATATTTCTGTTAATATAACCGATTACACTTCTTTGTCAGCCGGGTCGATTCTGCTGCTCATATTTCCAAATAAATGAGTCGTTTGATTTAAAAGAGGACATCACACTTGAGCCGTAATGGACTTTAGTGTTGATTCACAAAGGGGCTCAAGAAATCAGAAGCCATCTAAAAATAGATCTCCGTCCGCTCGGTGGCTTTGATGTTGGACACAAACATATATCCAATGTTTGGTTTTCACCTCTCAGCTGTCTGTAATGCAGGGCATTGTATTTATTCTACCGCTTGGAGGCTTGTGCTGCAGGACTTAATGATCAAAATATAAAGAAAGATGATACTGACATCATTTCGCATCCTAGAATCTCCCACCATTAAATTATGATTCTTTTTCCCATTAATCCATACCTGGCAACCAGATAGACAGGCATTTGTTTTAAAAATATCTCTTAGGTTTTTCACACTGCATGTGAAAATGGATGATTTGGGTTTACCGAGATTGAGTCATTTGCTGCGTTTCTAGCACTGTTTCCAATTAAATAGCTATTTTAGAAGGTAAGGAGACATTAATGCAGCACTGCTCCACCTAAGTCAGCATCATTACAGTTTATTTCTGTCATTACGAGATGAACACAAACTACACACCCACACTTATTTTCTGACATTCTGGCTCTACATTTACATTTCAACATCTAACCTTTTTCCCGTGACCCCCATTAGTTTGTGCCCCTTGTTTAGATCCTCTGTGTGTGTATATATACTGTACAGTGGGATCCCAGAGTCTGAGACCACATTGAAAATCTGGGATTCAAAAGCCAAATTTAAACCTGGAAATAAATAAGTAAACATGGATCATCAGGCTTTGTCAATGTCAGCTCAAGTAGTGTTTTCATTAAAACAAAAGTCTGAATTCATTTAAATGTTTAATTTTTTTTTTTTAATGATTTTTTAGTGTATTAAAATAGAGATAACACTTTACAGTACACTGTAAAAAAAAATCTACGGTAAAAAAACGGCAGCTGTGGTTGCCGGAATTTTACCGTTAAAAATACGGTAGCAACGTTTTAGGTTTTAAATGTAATACTGAATAACACACTAAAGTTAAAATTATTATAATTTAAATTATAATCAAGTACTTTAAAGTGTTGACTAACATACTAAAGCAAGTGTACTTCTTTAAAGTGTACTTCTATTAAAACTATGATTTAAAATGTAAAAGACTGGGCCACATTTTGACCTCATTATCATCAAAACTCATACCTGGTTTATTGTCATCATGTTTTCATGGGATGCACCAGAAACGCACCTTCCTGCACATCATCACCCAGTCGTGTCTGACCATCAGTCTTGGGGACCCATAGATATCCTCATAATTTCTGGATTCATTACCTAGATTAAGTGTGCTTTGTAATAAATCACACATTAGAACTGAAAGAAAGTAACTTGTGATATTGCTCTTGTGATGTTTCTCTTTTCACCAGTACTGTTACATTCAAAATGGTTTGTGTATTTACAGTGCACATGAATTTAGAAAAAAATAAAATAAATACTGATTCAATACATTTCAGTAAAACAAAACTAGATTTAGGCAGAATCAGGGTTATTATAGTTAACTAAAAGTATTAAAAAATGTTACTTGAAATAATATAAATGATATAAACGATAACACTGGACAGAGTTGCATGTTCTTTATTAAAATTATAATTATATGTATTGTATAATGATGAATAATTTTTATTAAAAAAATAAAATTGCTCTTAATCAGTAGTAAGTCATCGGAAGACGCATAGAATACAAATGGCTTCCTAAAAATGAACCACACACAAATTAATTTCTTAAAAATTGTGAAATAGCTTTGTGGTTATAGTATTTATTGAATGTGAGACCCTTTGATGTGAAATTGGTTTATGGAGCTCAGGCTGTGCTGTGAGTTCAAGGAAGACGCATAGAATACAAATGGCTTCCTAAAAATGAACCACACACAAATGAATTTATTCTTAAAAATTGTGAAATAGCTTTGTGGTTATAGTATTTATTGAATGTGAGGCCCTTTGATGTGAAATTGGTTTATGGAGCTCAGGCTGTGCTGTGAGTTCAAGGCAGATTTCATGTGTTTATTGGAGCAATTATTGCTGACCTTTTGAGAGAAATGGGAGGGGCGGTTTCTTTCATGGCCCGGGCTTGTGGAGACGGACCCTTTGCATTAGCACGCTCTCACAGCAGCTGCGCTCAGCACAGACAGAATGAGGGGCTTTTATTGTCTAAACCCTGAATTTGAATGGCCAATCCAGCATTTTTAATCTGCATTCTTTTTCCGGCATATGTTCGGCCACCAACGCTTCATTAATGCTTGTGTCTTTATGTGTGTTTTTCACGTTCCATCAACCATTAGCAAATTAATGATGGCAGTACAGTATGATTTTACACATGGACACACTTTACACACTATCTTCTAAAGGATACAACATTTATTCAATTAACATCATATTCAGTTTACTGAGTGGACAGCCAAATATATCACACATTCATGCACATTTAAAAATATGAATCTAACTTTTTGTTTATCTACAAATCTTATTTTAAATGGATTAAATGGAATTGTACTGAATTATCATGGCTTGGAAACACTTTTTTTTATGATGTACATATTTTGAATATTCACATTTTCTGCAGTAATGTTTTAGTTTTAATTGTATTTTATATCAACTTGTTTAGCATTTTATATTTATACGTGTTTAATATAGCCATTTAGATTTTTTGTAATTATTATTCTAATAAGAAGTTTTAGTTTTGATAATGTTTGAAATGCTCTTGCCTACCAAAACAAGTCAATGTTGTGTAGTCGGTAACCAGCATGCAGGAAGTCATTTTGTTTTCATGTGAAAAAAAAAAGAGCAGTGTGACTGTTTGCAAATCATATAGTCTCTTAAAAATATAACTTGCTTTTTTTAATTTTTTTTATGCAAGTTCACATGTTGCATTGATACTTGTCCAAAAATGAAAGCCATATACAGACTACATTTCAAAACACTTGGCAGAATCATTTTAAAGTAGACTTTTCAAAAGGTTGTTGATGTCCTAATTTGTTGTATATGTAATCATCTTTGGTGTCCTGATCTCAAGGATCAGTATTTGATTGACCTCTTCTTCAAACACCCCTGTATTATAGAGTTATGCTGTATGTTTTATGTTCTTGGTAAAATAGGCAAGAGTGTTATTGACTTTAGAGAGGAGCTCACAGCTGATGCGATCCATCATTAGAGCGATGCTATCTGTGTCCTGCTCAGATGCACACAGATAAAAGCGTCTCACCCAGAGATCTCTGTAACCCCCCACACACTGATACTACATCCATCTCTGAGAACCACACAGCCTTTGACTGCCATTGTAGCAAAAACATATCTAATCTAACGGCTCCATATATGACTGCTTATTATTTTCTTCACCTCCGTGCATTTCTCCACCCTACTGTGACCAAATACATTGTGTTACTCTCAAGCATACAGCATTAACACATTTCCAAACATCTGTCCAGTGCACTAGATTATCACTGTATCCATCTTATTTTGCTACAGATGTACGGTAAAGCTATCTGTGCTACAAACCAAAGTATAACAACTACCTGTTTGCAATATAAAGTAGCATAACAGACTGTTTTCAATACAGGTAGAATAGCTGGAAGTGGATGACTCGTTTTTATCAATGGTTTAATAATATTTTTATTACTTGTTTTCTGAAAATACAATTTCCAATTACAATTTTCAATTACAATTTTCGGCAGGTCTGAATATGCATAAGTGCAAATGAATTTAGTCTGTTCTACTTTGCAGTAAAGTGCTATTGAAAAGCAGGAATGACTGAGAGCTCTGTGAGAGCTCTAAAACACTATTATCTAGCTGCTGTTCATTATGAACTCAAAATGCTCAGTGATTCATACCAAACTTGAGACCGCATGCGGTCACCCCATTCGTCATGCTGTCTGCTGCATGAACTGTAAAATAGTGTCAGAGTCAGTAGTCTACAGTTGAGGAGAGGCAGAACAGTGCATATTCTCACCTATCTCTCAGTGTGAGACAGTGACTGATTACCTTCATTCAGAGCTGTTGAGGAGCAATCACCCGCAGGCTCCAGGCTTTTTGGAAGGGTGTCTGGGCTCAGCAGGGCAGCAGCTTTCATTATCAGTCTCTGGAGTTCTTCTGGATGGCACGATGCTTACAGAGACAGTGTTGAATGCCTTCTCTGCAGACTCAAACAGCTAAACAGGGTTAAAATGGGGTTAAATGTAATGATGGAGCAAAAAGCACAAACCAAAATTATTCATTAATCTTTAAAAATGCAAGATCCTTTACCACATAATTGGAAATAGAGAAATAAAATGTATTATTGTATGTTCCCTGTCATTTTGAAGCTATAGAATTTTACAGTGTGACCAGAAGGTTTTGGAAATTCATGTAAATTCCAATACTTTGCAAATTATACATTTCATTCTTTGACCCAGTCTAATATAAGTAAAAATGTCACAAGCTTTTATTGAAGTAAACAATCAATCAGTAGGCTAATAAAATAAAAATGAAGCAAAGTCATCAAAGCAAAGTCATCAAATGTAAAATAATAAACTGCACAGTCTACACTATATTATTTAAATATGCTAAGTTATTCAGTTGAACTAGATTTTTATAAACTGAGTTTTTCCTTCTGTTTTTAAAAAAAATCTCTGTTCACATGAAAACGCAAACGCATGCTATGAAGCACTGTCAAGAGCATGCCAAACCAACAGGTGGCGATATAATCTCAACCTAACCGCGTTCGTGTGGACAGGGCTTCAGACTGCCATACGAGTACCGAAATAATTTCTTGTTCACAGTTTATTGTGTTTTTAATAACTTATCAAGCATGTTACACTCTTTATTTTCACATTTTCTCTTTATCACTGTAACATATTCATAACTTTAAGGTAGATGGGCGAAGCTTCAAATCATTTGAACCAATTGCTTCGCAAAATGATTTGCTGTTTCTTAGCGCTCAAAACATCATGCTAGTGACGCCTGCTGGTCAAAACTGTGTAAATGCAACAAAAACTCAGACTGAAACGTGCATAAAAACAGCTTTTACAAACCCATTCCAAATGTTTTATTGAAAATATAATATATTAAATGCAATTAACGTAATCAAATACCATTATATGTTCTTTTATTAATTATCCTATGCTAGGGCTTGTCTAAACAGCCCAGTAAGAGACTTTTAACCACTACTCTTCCTTTTATTTACACAAATGTCTCATTAAAATGTCTACAAATTTACAAATTTCTCGCAAGATACACAGGTTCACAGAGATAATCGCCCCCAATAGCGAACCATTGAAATCTTTGAACATTTTGAAACAGTTTAGAGATAATGAAGCCTCGTTTAATGAAATCGTGTGACTTTGACAGTTTGATACTACTGCTCCAATCCACTGATTCGAAACAAATGATTCGCAAAGGTTTCGAAGCTTCATGAAGCAATGCGTTAAAAGTGCCCATCACTACTTTAGTGAGTCATGCGGATTCATTTACATAGTGTGTGTGTGTGTGTGTGTGTTTAAACAGCAGTTCATTTTGAAAGCATTTCATCATATCACATAGATCAGTTTATGTGATTTTAGTTTATGTAGGATTTATCTACAGTATGTTTTGTATCTACTTTATCTGAATTTAGTTTGTATATTTTCATAGTAAATTGGACAATTTGGGGAAAAAAGTTTAATGCAAAAATTCTGTACAATAAGACCTGGTGATTCATGTGATTTATCCATCAAGTGTTTATTTTATTTTTATTATTAAATCATTTCTAGTAAATGTTGTCATCTGTGTTATTTTGTGTCTAAATTTGGCAACGTGCTATCATTTGTGAATAAAAATGTTGGGCACAGCGTAGGCAGCAGCATCTCACAGATAAAGCTAAAACAAATCATTCACAGCCCCATCTTCATCATCTCCATAATACAGCTGTCACTAATGGATGATCCTGGACAATGGACACACATCCATACAAATTATGAACTAGGCCTTTTTGAGGATTAATGTACATATTAAAGCAAATATTTTTCTAAGATGAAATCCAAAAACTTCAGAGGAAAAATTGTGAGTGATACTGCTTGGTGTATATCAAATATGTAAAAAAAAAAAAATTTAAAAACTTTTCAACTCTATGCATTGCTACTGTATGTACACATCTAATGCATCCACCATGTTCTGCCAGTGTTCTATCAATGTCTGTTTAACGCACAAAAAAAATACATTAATATTAATTCTTGAATGGGGGTATAACGATTTGTGATCTGTCTCTTAGTTATTTGATAATTTTAACATGCATATGTTTA